AATGCATGGCTCATAAAAAACGCCTACTGAAACATGGCTGTGGCAAGCAGAGATGGTTTCACAGAAGCAACAACTACACACTTTATAGTTTATTATAGTTTCACACTGTATGTCTTTTGTTTCATGTGAAACTGTGCAGCCATTCAAAAAGGATATGGAATGCCCTTTTGGCACATATATATGGAAAGTTCAAAGAAGGAAAAATGGAAGGACTCGTCTGATCGGCATTTTACATTCTTTATTTAGCAAGACACATATAAGTGACATATTGTACAGCTCTGAATGTAAAACAAATTTTATAATGGAATGACATTTGGGCTTGTTTTGCTCTTGATCTGGCTCTTCCCATTCTTTTTTCCTTATGAATGTGTTGCATTCAGTTGGCTCACTTCACAGAGATTCTTTTTTTTTAACATGCTCAAGCTGGGTTCACAGGAAATGACTTGAATAACCAAGTAGGTGAAAGGATTTAGAGTGGTCCACAGAACATTGGCTTTTTCTGTTTCCCTTTATCATTTTGTATTAAACTCAGTCAGTCATGGCAAATAATGACCATTAACAGGTTTAAAATATAGATGTAGAAAAGCTGAGCCTTTCAAACAGCTGATAAAACCTTGGTCTATATGTATTACCCATTGATCTCGTCTTTGCTTTGACATACTTTATTGTTGTACCGTAACAAGCATTTTAGTATTACCACGATTATCATAGTTTTTGTTAGTGGTAGACTTGCATATACGCAATGTCCGATTTTTTGGTTTGTCTCCATGAGTAAGAGTTTCAAGCTTACAACTTTAACACTGTCTCAAAAGGAATAATTAACTAAATAAGTAAACCGTACACCTATACGTATTAACTGAAAGTTAATTAGTATCCAAAGTGAACACAGCTCCAACACATTGAATGAAGTCATTCCAGATAAGTGGCTCAATAAGACTAGATGCCAATTTGTGAGTGTGAGCTGAATTATTTCAAGTATGGGGAAAAAAACAGTCTGCAACGGTGTTGATATTATGTCCCCTTTTAGTTTAACATTTCACCAGCTTCATAATAGTGACTTGAAAGGATTGATTAGTCCCTTTAGGAGTGATCTATAGTTTTAGCCTACAGATAAATAAAAATCTGCAGCCCATTATTTACTATTTTATTTTTTTATTACCAAAAACACTGAAATGGCTCAGCAATGTGGTTAACAAGAATCCAATGTCCAATGAAAACACTTAATTAAGACTGGTCAATTTACTACTTAATTTTTGTGTACTGAAGCCACAGATCAGGTGAAAAGTACCAGTACTGTAATACAATTTTACTTGTAGACATTAGCCTGCTTATTAGCTGAATGATTTAGAAATAAAATCTGCCTATTATAGGAGTATTTACGTAAAACTTTAGCCTTGTCAGTGTTACTTATTTTACAGCATGTCCAACTGTATGCAGATGATGTACTGTTCTTTTTGTAATTGGTAAAGCCATTGTATGCTGTTGTGTTCTTCTGCACTGCACCAAAATAAATGAGAAAACAAAAAAACCAGAGTCAATAATCACAGTCTTAAATAAATATTAAGAGGTCACACATAATATATGAGAGTAAATGATGTTTGTAGCAGAAGTACCTGCAGTTTATTTGGATTTGAGCTCGTTGAAGACTTACTACCTTAACAAAAATCTAAAACTAATGTCACGTCACCAGCAGATCAATATTTACAATTTCACTTCAGCTCTCACAAGAAAATTCAGCTTTGCAAGATGTTCTTTTGACTTGTTCTGGTCACTGACAGCATGTTATGAACGAATTCAAAAAACAAAACAAAGTACATCCACATTTAAAATCGTCATGCTTACAAACACTTTAAATAGTCACAGATCATTCATTCACAATACTGGTCAGTAGAAAAAAAAAAGTGCAAATAAAATCATAACGAAAAGAAGAATTAATGTTCAAGCTCATTTAAGCTCTCAATCAGAAACATGAGGTTAAACAAAATATGACATAAGGCTGACTGACGTTCATGAGCTCCATTCAGCTCAATAAAAAATATGTTTTAAACAAATTGTTCATGTCAGTTTGAGAATATGTGTTACATACTACTCACTCAAAGTGAAGACAAAAAAACAACACATCTGGTACTTTGTGTAAGGTTTTCAGTCAGATGTGCACACTTCTGTCACACTCCAAGTACAGAGATATTCAGCTTTTACTTTTTTATTTCCTTACCAGCATCAACTTTAAATTATGCAACATTCAGTGCACGTCTGATAAAATGAAACAAACACAAAAAGTCTAAACTCAAACAGCACAAACCCATCAAGCAAAATTAATCAAACACAAATGTGCTGTTAATTCATCCCCCCACAATTACAGCTTTAAAGTGATGCTTGCAAATGATTTTATTTCAGCATCTTTCACTTCCCTTTTATTTTTGCAATGCTCCACTTGTTCCAACAAGGTTTGACACTGGCTCTTATTTACAGCCATTGGTACCCATACAAGCTTATGTCTCCAATTGAAACTTGGTAATGTTTGCATGCCTTATGAGTGTTTTTATTCAGTAAGATTTGAACGTTAGTTCCAAATTGGCCTAAAATTAAACAAGAGACAAGTGAAACATTTAACAATAGAATGCAAGTGAGTAAATGATAGACTGTAAACTAAATATTGGAATGGACATATTTGCCTTAAATAAAACAAGACAAGATAATGTTCATGAAAATGGAATATCACAGTGAACTTTTCATCCAGACTTTGATGAAAGTTTGTTTCTTGTGACTGAAATAGCATTAGCATTACAACTCAAATAAATATGCTTAAAACATTTGACTGAAAAAAAAAAAAAAGTATTCCCTGACCTATCAAAGAGTTTTCTGCAGGTACACATTTACTGTTTTAATAGCTTTCATTTGCAGACTTTTCATCATCAGTTCTAGCCGATAGCTTTAGCCTTATCCACACAGGAATGGTTTTGTTTCAGCCTTGTGTCCACATGGAAACAGTGTTTATTGAAAAGGAATTCCAGAATGAAATTAAAAAAAATATATATCTAAAGATGCCATAATTGCAATTTTGTGTAAACAGAAAAAATGCAATCTTTTGACGACAGTGATGTAGCACTATTAACCTATAACCCCAAGTGCAACAGTTGTAACAACAACCTTATCTGTCAACAACAATGATGGACAACATTATGATTGTTTTTACTGCAGATGCTAACTAGCTGCTCAACAACATCAAAACTAGGGATGCACAATATTATCAGCATGGTACTGGTATCGGCCGATGTTAGCAATAAAGTTAAATATTGGACATTGGCCATTCCATCAAAATAACTCACCAATATAAAAGGTGCTGTTTATATATATATATATATAAATAAATAAAAGGTGCTGTTTTTATATGACAAACCAGTGACAAGGATGCCTGCAGCGCCAGCACAACATTATGACATCACGCACGCTGTTGAGTTTAGTGAAAATTTACAAATTTGCACTGTTCTGAATAAATTTGACATTAAACATAATCCAGTCTGTATTTGGTAGCAGGCCAAATCGACAAAGACCATGCAGAATAATGTAGTATTTTAATTCCACAGCAAAGAAAGCTATGTAGTCTAAGGTCTACGAAAAAATATATCAGTACTGGTATCGGATATCGGCCAAATGAGTTTTAACATATTGGCATATCGGCCAAAAATCCAAAATCGTGCATCCCTAAAAAATAATTCTGGATTTTCTTATTTCGATGAGCAGACAAGTTCGATGCTAAACAGAAAACTATCTCATTTCCTGGTTTTGCTGTATTATTGTGGTAGCGTTACAGCATCATGCACAGGCATGGCATATTTAGAAAAACAAATAAAAAATTGTTTTCGAAAAACACATGTCCCGTGTGGACAAGGCTTCCGTCTCAAATGTGTAACCAGAACAAATTCATTACAGTCATGGCAATGTTAGCACAAAAATACACAATGGAGATAGCAACATGTTTGTACCAAGCAGATAAGAATTATTTACAAAGCTGTCATCATGCTGTTTTTTCTTCTTCTTCTTCTTTACATTGGTAACAAAAGCATTAAATCACATCAGCCTCAATACTGGGGAACTCACAAAATGTAAATTCTCCTTCGAATAACGTAAAAAAGGCACTGGACATTGTTCAGCAAAACAAACTGAGTAGATAAGAACATAAAGCAATAACCTGTAAGAGAATATTTGTACCTTTTTACACTCAAATAAGGTTCATCTACAGCAGAACACCTGCAAGTACAAAAAAAAACCATCAGTGTTGTGTTGGCTTTTACAGGAGTAAGATAATTTTCCCTTGTGCAAATAATAAGGCAAACACAAAAAACACTATTTTCTATGTCTAACAAGAAAAAAAAAAAAACGGCACTGAGTAAAATGTCACTTGGTGACATGGAGTCCCTTTTGTCTGTCACTAACTACCTCATCTTATTAGAGTCTCCTCATTTCAGAGCACAAGTACTGTGCTAGACCGTATCAAAGAGTCCACTGTTCCCTTGGCTTGGCACTTGACAAGTACAGCACAGTTACCAAAAAATGACTTCCAGTAGGCTCTCTGAAGAAGTGGCTGTGATATTCACTAAAGAGCATGCTTGTGTCTGAGATGTACCAAAGAGTCAAGTTAGGGATGAGAAAAAAAAAACTGTGTTGTATGTGATTTTTTTTTTCTTTCCACATTTTTGGCAGGAAATATTTTTTGAGTATTTACAGCAACGTTTTCTCTCTTAAAGAACAACTAAAATTCACAAGAAATCTGAAACATCACATTTGACAATAAAAATAAAAAAAACCTTCTACAAAACCAGTGTAATTTTCCCTTCTCAGGAAAGGGTTAAAATGCAACTTGGATACACATTCTAAGGGATAAGGTTCTTAAGATTCAGTTTCTATTAGCTCTTGCTATGAACTAAAGCTCTATTTGGCACCAGAGAATGCCAATCAAGCACACGGATGTAGAAAAAAAGAAGAGAAAAATCCTACCCCCTGCCATTTTTTTGTCTCCTTTCATTTAATTCCTTTCCTATTCAAGCCAGTAAGTATCAGAACACTAGTTCACCAGTCTTCCACTGTTTCCCCTTTGGTCTTTCACTCCCTGTGCCTCCTTTTATCAAAGACACAGATGGGGGTTGGGCCCAAACTGCCAGATAAAAAAAAAAAACACTCCCTAAATCCTTTCACAGCTGATGCTTTAAAGATAACATGTACACACGCAATTTCATGAACATATGCAGACGCATAGCAAACGTTTGGGAATGTATGCATACTTTCCAAGTGTGTCACTGTGTGTTCCGAGGACGACATTCTTATAAAAATCAAAAACTAGTTTGGAGAACAGCAGGAAATCGATAAGAGATACAGCGCAGGGAATACTCAGATAAAACGTATGCTGCTCTGCATCGCAATCTAATTTTCTTCATTGGCCTTCTTGTAACATCATTGAACCTTTATCGCTTCAGTCCTACAGGCACTAACTTTCTCCGCTCTGAGGGGAACAGTGCCTCACCCTCATGCGCAGAGTGCCGGTTTTGTGCAGGTGCCAGAGCTGGACAAACTCCTCAGGCATGGCGTGAAACCATTTATAGGGTAGGATGTTGTCATAGTAATGATGGCTGATGGGTTGCTCGTCCAGGCCAACAGAAAATGGCCAGAAGCCGTAGGTGGTCACTTCGTCGCACAGCCCCAGTGCTAAGCTGACCAGAAACAGCCCAGTTGAGAGGCGCTTAGCATGAATACCGTGGGCTTTCCAGAACTTGCCCACCGATCGTAAGAATTCAGGGTTTGCGAAGAGCATCGTGAGGTTGGAGGAGGTGTCTGACAGTGCGTAATAGGCTCGTAAGGACGGGTCAGTACCAGGCTTCATGGAAAATGCTGGCATGTAAATGTAACTGGAGCCGTAGACTTTCATACTGTCCACAAAAGCTTTCCTGGACCACAGAAGGTTCTGGTATCTGCAAAGCAAAGACAGTTAGGATAAAGTGAGAGTTGCTCTGAAACAATGCATTGCAACAAGAATAAGAATTCACTTTGGAGTCAAATGCTCCAAAACTGGTCTGTAGACCCGTCCATGTAGCCGTTTGGTTTCAGTTCCTTTTTCTGATTTTCTATTTGACTAATACAGATTTTCCTGTAATTTGACTGCTTACTAGAAAGGACAACATTTATAATAACTGTCAACATAAAATATATTTTAAGGTAAAGCTCAACCTCAAAACTAATGATTGATTTTAACATGTTTACATTAGTAAAAGATAAAAAAAAAAAAAAAAAAAGTTGCTCCTGCTGTGTTTTCTCCACACTTTGTGCACTTGCATTGTCTGAACATTATAATTTTTTCTGTCCACTCATCAGATGAGTGTTATTTTTTTTATTATTATTTGAGAGTGTTTGTTAAGGTGATTTAATGTTCATTACCTTTTTTCTATGATGCTGGGGTTGGCAGTGACCAGATGTGTTCTTGTGCCGACATCATCTACATATTCCTTTGTGAGTGGTGGAAGGTTACATCTAAAACAAGAAAATGCACAATATTCACAAACTGATTTGTAAAAATTAGGGGTGCACTGATAAATCAGCTCCAATTTCCTTAATTTTGGGTGACCGGCTGATACTTACATGAGAAACTGATTTTACCGATTTTTTTGTAGATTTAGCAACAATTGTCTAAATTTCATTTATATTTCAAAACACTACCTCATGACCAGTTAAAACAAGTTTGTATTGTTTCTAGGGTATTGTTCAAGGGTATACTTTTCAGTAAAATAAGATTAGAAAACTGAATGTGCATTGTGACCTTATAACACCTGACAGTGTCGCTTATAAAACAAAATCGTTATCGGCCAAAATCGGAATCGGCAGGTCCGATTTTTTTAGAGATCAGTGATCGGACAGAAAACTGCAATCGGTGCACCCCTAGTAAAAACTACTGCAACACTAAAGAAAACAACGATACAAGTGAGGTTTGATTATTAATAGAACTTCAAATTAAAAACAGTGATCATTAACTGGTGCCCCCTGGGCCCACAAATAAAAACTTTTGGTCAATGTTTGGTTGTTTTACCAACCAAACAACAAACTAAACAAACAGTGTCATGCAAGAATAGAGGTTTAAAATGAGCTAATGTAGCATTCTTTCCCACCTGTATGACATTGTTTGAGTCTTAACCAAAAAACAAGTGCTTGTTCACAGCACCTGATCAGGCTCATTGGGTGAAAGACAGAACTTTTTAACAAAATACCTAATCTTTAACAAACAACCAATCAGAGGAAACCAATACAGATGTGCAGCGTTTTTAAAATTGTCTATATTTTCCTAAATTCAGAGCACTAATATTTCTGCATCAATGCAAGATGTAGGATTCAGAATGTGCGTTTCAAAATTCTTCATCCAAAACAGGACATTTACAGGTAGACGTGCTAAAAAAAACTACAGAGATCGCAAAAGTCAGCCTCACAAGTGCAAGTAGCAACCATAGTTAACAGCTCTTCTTATTACCGCAATGCAATACAGAATGCAACATTAGGCACAGAGTTTAGTTATGATGCAGAGACTTTGAAAAGCTTTACTTGAAAGGGTTCATCTATTATTGTGGTTTTGAGAGAAGAGTCTAGAAAGTAGCTGAATCTACACCAGAATAATAAAAATCTACTTAATGCATTGTGTATCTGTTTCTTGTTTTCAGATCAAGGTATAAGGTATCTGATGCTGTGTAGCATGTACACTGATTAACAGAGAATTAAACTTCAAACCTTAAGCAAACAAAAACCTCCACTTTGAGACCTGAATTTAAAAACCTTCAGTTTTAGAGAAAACAAGGGCTGTTGTGTATAGGAAATGTCTGACCTAGAGCAGAAAGCTCTGGTTTCACTTAAGGACACAGTGTAAACATGATGAAAGACCTCATTCTTTTATGTGATGGAAATAACGCTCAGCTGCTACCACACTTAATTTTAGCTCGAGATTTGTAAAACTGACTGTTGTAACATTTTTGTGTTTTCTTACAGTTGATTAGCTGCGGTGGCCATCCTACGTAAGGATGAGTCCAAAGGTGTAGATGCACATCTGATCATTATTTTCTGAGTTTCATTAAAATCTGTCCAGTGGTTCACGAGATATTTTGCTAATGAATGATTACCATAATGACTAATGATGAATGATTACCCTCCACAATGAAAGACCAGAATATTGATGACTCATTCCAGATTTGGGAGTAACCAGTTTAAAAGGAACCTGCATTGTGTTGCACACGAAAATTTTATTTTATTTTTTCACTTATATCGAACGGACTCAGTAAGTTTGAACAGTCAGTCAGGTTTAACTTAACTAATCGATGGGAGCAAGTCAGTTTTTGTTTGGCAACATCCCAGTTCAATTCAGTTTCTTTATATAGTGCCAATCATAACACAGAAGTCATCTCAGGGCACTGAACAGAAACATTCATGTATAAAAAATAATCCCAGCTCAGCAACTACTCCTGCAGGGGATTCCAATAAATTTAGAGCGAAACTAAGTTTCATGATTTCTACAAAATGTCACAAATGTAACTATTTGCAATCTTCCTATTTATTGTTAGTTGGTGCTGTAAATGGTCCTTTTGTGTGAATCAGTATTCATACATTTTTTTGTAGTTACATGAAAAACATCTGCATCTTTTGAAGTAACATTTTGTCCATCAAGCAGTGTAATAAGACGTGACTTGTTATCGGTGAACCTACATAGATAGAAACAAAGATGCCATGAAGTCTGGGTTGAGGCCTTGACCCAGTACATCATCTCTGAATGAGCGTACAAGTGACAAGAAATATTGTAAATACACAAAGGATAAGAATAGTATAAAAGCTTTGTGAAAATCTCTCTGCATGTGAGTGTGTGCGGGGTGTCTTTTTTTAATTCTGATGCTGTTCGGCTGATTAAAATTTTCTGCACCTCTTCAATAAACCCCGATATTTGCAGTCATTAAGAGATTCAGTGTCATCTGGTTATTTAATGAAATATCAAATCTTTGCATGTTGTTTTGGCTACAACACTTTAAATCTAAGGTCTAGCATTTGTTAATGAAATGCTTACTGCCTGCAACCTTTCATGTGATTTTCATTAAGATCGTCATCTGTTAAGAAATTATGGAGTTGTGCTTTTGGCTCTGGCAGCTATATTTTAATATACTGTAATGCTTGTGAACAAGCATTTCTTTGGGATTTGTTCTACTTTGACTGGCATCGCATATCATTAATTGACAATGTGAATCTTGCTTGGAACTATTTTCATAATAGTTTCATTCATTTTGTAAATAAACACGCTCCACTTCGTCTGCTCAGAGTAAAGGGCCGGGATAGCCCCTGGTTTCCTTCTGAGTTAGCTGACCTCTTGCACAGGAGGGACCAGCTTTGGGCAACAGCAAGGCAGACTGGTTCGGACATCCATTGGTTGCAATTTCGTCAGTTACGGAATCGCTGTACGGCTTCCAGTAAATCAGCAAAACGAAACGACTATTTAACTCAGACCACCAGACATCTAAATGATCCTAAGAGCTTCTGGAAAACTTAAATCTCTTGATGGCAGCACTCACTCATCTGACCTACCAACACAATTATTTGTTGACTCTGCTCCTGTGTCAGATAAGTATGAGATGCTAAATTGTTTCCAACATTTTGTAGCCTCCAGTTCCTTGGTTAATACAGTTTCTAATTGTAAATCACCTACTCCACCAACAAGTCAAACCTCAGCAAACCATACATTCTCTTTTTCACTGTTCTGTCAGTGAGGCTACTAAACTGTTAAAAGATCTGGATACTAGAAAATCTGCAGGCCCTGATGACCTCCCTCCTTACTTCTTAAGTCTAGATGCACAAATTATAGCAGAACCAGTGTCATACATTGTCATTCTGTCTATACAACGTAATACTGTCCTGTCCCAGATGCTTGGAAAACAGCTTTTGTGCGGCCATTATTGAAGGGAGGAGACCCCACTATTTTGAACAATTAACGACCAATTTCCAAACTCTGTATTTTAACTAAAGTTTTAGAAAAACTGATAAATACTCAAGTCAAGAAGTATTTGGACTCTTAATATTTTATCTTCTTTCCAATCTGGCTTCAGGAAACAACATGACTGCTTCGCTAAAGGTTTTTAATGATGATGTTGAAGCTTTGGATGCAAAGGATTACTGTGCTGCACTTTACTTAGACCTGTCCAAAACCTTTGATACTGTAGATCATGACATCTTATGCCACAAGCTCTCAGATATTGGTTTCTCAGAAACTCTCAGGTCGGAAACAATGTGTTCAACATAACGGTACTTCACCTAGCTACCCAACGGTCACCAATGGTGTGCCACAAGGCTCAGTTTTAGGTCCCACTCTTTTTACAATTTATATAAATAATGTAGGCAGCACGGTGGCGCAACTGGTAGAGCTGCTGCCTCTCAGCGAGCAGGTCCTTGGTTCAAACCCCAGTCCAGGGGCCTTTCTGTGTGGAGTTTGCATGATCTCTCCGTGCATGCGTGGGTTTTCTCCGGGTACTCCGGTTTCCTCCCACAGACCAAAAACATGCATGTTAGGCTGATTGGTAACTCTAAATTGTCCCTAGGTGTGAGTGAGAGAGTGAATGGTTGTCTCGTTTGTCTCTATGTGGCCCTGTGATGGACTTGCGACCCATCCAGGGTGTACCCCGCCCCTCGCACAGTGATTGCTGGACATGGGCACCGGCGACCCCCGTGACCCAAAATGGAATAAGCGGGTAAAGAAAATGGATGGATGGATAAATAATGTGTCTAAACATTCCTGATGCACCGTTGCATCTCTATGCCGATGACACTGTTGTTTATTGTCGAGCTAAGACAGTTGCCAAGGTTTCCCAGCTTCTACAGTCTGCACTTGACATCATTCAGTCAGACTTATTCCACCTCAAGCTGGTGCTAAATGATGACAAAACCAAAAGGATGTTATTTTCCAACAGAAAGTTGGTACCAGCAACTCTTCCTCCTATCTCATCCATACATGGTGTTCCTATTGAATTTGTAGATTCTTACAAATACTTGGGAATTTTGGTTGATGCACATCTCTCTTTTAAAACACATATTGAAAACTTGATAAAAAAAAAAAAAACTGAAATAAAACTGGGTTTCTTTTTCAGAAATAGATCTTGCTTAACTCTGAATGCCAGAAAACGCCTTGTAACTGCTAACTTACTACCGGCCGTTGACTATGATGACATTATTTACATGAAAGCCCCTGCCAGTTCCTTGCAGATGTTGGATGCTGTCTACCATGGCGCATTAAGTTTTATAACTGGTTGTAACTACCATACCCATCACTGCATCCTGTACTCCTTGGTCAGTTGGTCATCATTATCTACATGTTGGCTCTCACACTGATTCAGTTTCATCTATAAATCCCTTCTGGCCCCTTGCCTTCTTATATCTCCTCCCACATGTCACGCAGTCAGTGCAGTTACAACATGCGCTTTCAGTCCCTCATTTACCTGCATCGTTCCCTCAGTGCGGACTGAACTTGGCAAAAAGGCCTTTTCCTACTCAGCTCCTGCAACCTGGAACACCTTGCAAAAGGAACTGAAGCTGTCCTCCTTGATTTCTTTACGGGGTTTCAAACATTTGATAATGTCGATAGAAAAATCAAGCAGATATGTTCTTTTTTTTTTAGTATTTCACCCAGTTTTATAGCACCCTGATTTATTGTTTTGTACACTACTCTCATTTTAACTGCACTTTTACTGGAGTTTATTGTAATCATTGTTTATGATCTGTCTGGAACAGGTCCCTCTTGCAAATGAGTCCCCGTGGCTCAGTGAGGCTAGCCTGTATAAATAAAGGTTGAATGAATGAATGGAAAAAAAAAAAAATAATTAAAATGTCTATCAGTTGAATAATTACATGTAATTACTTTTTGAAAGTTTCATTAAAAAAATCTGTTCAATGGTTCTTCGGGTATTTTGTTAACAAACAGGCTGGACTTCTTGCTAAAGTTTTAAGCAATGATCTCGCACAATGAGTAGCACTTGGGACTGTGTCTTATGAATGACTCTCAGCTACTAATACACCAAATTTTAGCGTATCTTTAAAATTGACTGACATAGCCATTTTTAGATTTTTAAAAGGTCGGGGTGGCAGCGACCATTTTTAAATTGGGTTCAACAAGAACCCCAATTTTTTTTTTAAGCAATTGTTCAGACTCCATAAATAATAAAAAAAATTGGATGATATGTTTTTTGGTATCACATCAACTCATCCTTTCTTTCTCCCTCTGTTCATATTTTGTTGATTCATTCTTGACCTTTTCGTTCTCTGCTGACCTCACTATGGCCCATTTTTCTGTGCTTCTGTCTCTTGGCTACAGTCAACACCAGCTCCCATTATTGAAGATGGGATTTGGTGGAACTCTCGGGGACAGTCCATTTACAGTTGGAGCGGCAATGTGCAGATTCAGACCCCCAGAAGCCTCTGCCTCTCACCGCATGATAAAGTCGGCTTGGTCAATGTCCCGTCCACACTTGCTGTGCCTCAGGATGCCCCCATTGCCCACCACAGCACACTTCTTTAGGGGCAGCTGCAGAGGGTTGCTCTGAGTGAAGAAAAAAAAAACAGCTTTGTTAGAATTCAAACAAACACAAGTGCCAACTGGTTGCTCAAAATGATGCACAAAAACAAGCATAAAATTCTTCTCGAGTTAGATTCATACATCATGCATCACCTAGTATGGATTAGTGTTAGTTCCTCTAGTGAACTGGGCAACTAAAACACAAACCACAGATATATAAATAAAATAGGCTTCTTAAAAAAAAATGGAGTTGTGCATCTTACGAACCCATTTTCAAAACACGCACAAGTACAACGTCTTCAATACGTATGATGCATGGGTGCTCTGGACGGTTTCTTTGGAAGTCATCTGGACGGACCTAACTTAACTTTGTTGGATTTTCTACCTGGATTATTGAGCATGAATCAGGATAATTTATGTTGTTGTTCTTCACTTTTTACTTTATAATCCAGAGCTATTCATCTAAACTGCTCAGTGGACCATGGTTACAGAAAGCCAGCAGCTCAGGGGCTGGACATTCAGCAATAAAAGTCATTATGTAAATAAACCAAGTATTACAATGATCTGTTACCTTTTAAATTTCTTTATTTTGTTGGATTGAATCATAAATGCCATAACCCCCCCCAACTAAATAAACCCCAATAAAATATATTTTTATGAACTCATTGGTGGGCCGGACTGAAGTCCCCCGCGGGCCACTTCCAGCCCGTGGGCCGCCATCTGAATAGCCCTGTTATAATCCATAACACTGACTGACATATTATGAACAGCCTTTGGTGTGAATCATTGCCTTGTGATCATCTATACTAAAGCTCATTCAGAACAATATTAAAGGCTGTTTGGAAGGACAACACAACTCGAGGCAAAGGGTAAAAATGTCCTTTCTCTTTGCCTCAGCATCATTTGAGCCCGAGGCACGGAGGCATGGAAAGTGAGACGGTGGAAACAATTGTTCTCATTATTCTCCTTGGATTGAGCACGCGTGCAAACACACGCACACACTCCTCTTTGCCTCAGGTTGTTTTAAAACCATTCTTTTAAACAGAGGGGGCTGAGTCAGAGGACAATACCCTGGAAACACCTCATTCAAGAGCGAAAAGGTGCAAATTGATAAAACGTACACATTTCAGATCTTAACTTGTTCTGTTGCACATTCAGCACAACTAGTGGCCATACGCCAAGACCACTATAGCTATTGTGATTGATAAAAAGAAAAAAAAATGCTTGAGTCACATTTAAAAAAAGCAAAACTATCAACTGTTTGACTCTCAGAGCAAGAGTTTGCTGTTTGGTTCACAAAGCCACATGTATACAAGCACTGTTTCAGGCATGGCACTAACCAGCAATTAACTGTCAAAGCCTTAATTGGCACATTCCCTGGCAGATGCCCTGCTTTTGTAGCTGCTGCCAGCTTGGTGTAGCCTGGCTGGTTGTCTGTGTTCAGACCAGCAATCATAGCAGCAGCGGTTCAGGAGGCAGAGTACATTATCTGTCCCACATAATAACCAGTTACCTTGGTTCTACAAAACACTTACCGTATATTAGATGCCTATGGAGGAAGTGGTAGTGCAGAGGTTAGAAGCAAGTCAAAAACAGACACAAGGAGAGACAACCACAAGCTACAGCAGAAGTAAAAAAGTAAGCAATTTTAAAGTTTCCTGTTTCAGGAAGTCCATGAGAAAAAACAAGGCTGATGTCTGAGACTCTACAGGCCTCAGTTATTAAGGTTCATGACCGCAGATAAAGGCTAAGTTCACTAAGTTCGCTAAGTTTTTTGCTCAGATTCAATGTTTCTGTGTGGTCATTCACAGTATCATTGAAATGCACCCTCCATTAAACACCAGTGTGAACCCGGTGCAGTTCTGAGGCGACTCGCATGCCACAGAAGAAAACGTGATTTCACATGCAGCACTCTGTTTAAGGAAGTAAATATGGATCCTACACGTGTAATTCTGAAATCTCTCAATCAGAACTGATTAAATGATTATCTGGCAGGCTTGTTTGATCAAGTGTTCACATTTAATCTGGCCTCTGGATGGCTCCTCCGGCACAGCATTGTTTTTATGGAATGGGAGCGACGTACTGAAGGTAGAAACAAACTCAACTTTCAATTCCATGACAGTAGCATCGACACGGTTCAACACTAATAGTATCATATACTGCTGTAGATTGTCAATCATCCAGGACATGGCAAATTAAAAGAACAAAGACGAAGCAACTGGATGTTTGTTCTGTAGTTGAAGATGTCCAGAGTCCCAAGACTTAATTCAATTCAGTTTATTTATATAGCGCCAAGTCACAACAGGAGCCATCTCAGGGCACTGAACAGAAACATTCACATATATAAAAAGTAATTTAATAACATTATTTATCTGAACATAAATATTATATACCATATTTTTTGGCCTATAAGTTGCAATTTTTTTGCATAATTTGCATGTCCTGTGCATATACACCACATTGACTTATTTACGTTTTTCCCCCCATATTTATAAACCAACTTTTGGCTGAGATATGACCGTTTTCATTCATTCTGACATTGAAAATATTGAACACTACCATTTTCAGCCGCTAGATGGCACTCAAGTAGTATAGCATGCCGTTGTATTATGTAATAGGTAAAAATGGCTATTAATGACACAATCGGCTTGCCATAGGTTGCCAATGTCGTATGCCTGGCGCAACCATCAAATCAGCTTCATTTCTCTGCACCGCCCTGGCGAAATGCAGCTAATTTGACCACTGAAGTGCATTTATTAAGTAAAAGTTCAACTGAGACACACCTTTGCTATAATGCCAAGCAAACAAATAATTGTTTTAGGTGCTTATGTTGTTAAATTTCAAAGGAATGCACAGCATTCCTCCCTCCTGATTTCCTTCCTCTGCGTGCTCCTGGAGCATCGAGGCAGCAAATACTTTTGAAATGCAGCTGATTTGACCATTACAGTGCATTAATTAAATAAAAGTTCAACTGAGACACACAGTTACTATAAAGTCGAGCAAACAAATAATTGTTTTTAGGTGGTTATCTTGTTCAATTTTGAAGAAATGCACAGCGAGTCGTCCCTCTGCTTCTGCAAATTAGCTTTTGAAATTGAGCTGGTTTGACCATTAAAGTGCATTTATTAAAGAAAAGTTAGACTGAGACACACCTTTGCTATAATTTTGAGCAAAAAAAAAAAAGGTGTTAATCTTGCTAAATTCTTGTTAAAGTCCTCCTGTGCACACTCCTGCGGCCACCATTTGGCAGCCCATCAATTTTTGGCACAACACTGGCCCACATTTCCAGGTAGTCAGTGGTGACACGTAAGAAACGAGACACGTCAGCGGTGACACCTAATAGATGTGATTTATACGGCTAAGCAATGTATTAATATATTTTTTCCACTTTATTAGACATTTTTGGACTGATGCGACTTATACGGCGGTGCGACGTTTATGGTGGAAAATACAGTAATACAGTAGTCCCTTGCTACTTCGCGGTTCATTTATCGCGGACTCGCTCTATCACACGAATAAACTACTGAATAAACTACTACTTACTACTTGTACTACTATTCCTACTTCGCGGTTTTTCACTTATCACGGGTCTTAAGGTATGGATCCCCCGTGATAAACGAGGGACTACTGTATACTTAAACTTAAATGAGTATCGTTATTATTAATACTTGGATCGATCCGCACTCACTGACATAAATCACTGAAAGAAGTTGGATAAAATGTGACAAGACCGTTGAGACTGCAGTCACTTTGAAAAACATTGGATAGGTGTCTGATTTAGTACCACATATAAAGACCTGGGTCTAAATTTAAAAACATCAGATTTATATCGTTAAGACCGTCATGAAAACATCCTACATGGGTCACATGGGGTAAAACAAAAAAGGACTTGGGCTGCTTTTGCCTGCCGTAGTCTTGGAAACAGACATAACAAAAATGTTTTTTCAATGGGTCACAAAGAGGAAGAGTAGGAGTTAGAATGATCTTATTTCACAACCAGGTAAAAAGAAGATCATTTCCTTTGGCATGTTATGCAAGCGTGCATTATGCAAAACATAATCCCAGAAAGATGTCAGACTTTTGAACAATGACTGAGCACACAAGTCACAGGCATGTGATCCACAGTTAGTTTTAACAAATTAGTTTGTTACGTTTTCAAGCCAGTTTACTGCAAAATAATTTTCCAGCAACACATTTATTACTTCTATTAATCGATGAGTATGTTTAACTTTAACTGAAGTAATACAACTTATGTTTTCTTTTAGGGAAAGATTAGTTGTGACACACAGTGATTAAATGTTATTCTAAAATTAATCTCAAATTTGTCCTCATCAAGCATCTGGAAACAAGGACCGTCACTATTATTGATATATTACACCACAGGCGGTGGACAAGCAACGTGCCAATTCCAAAAAAAGTCCACTGCTCTTTAATGTATATTAATTACCCAGAATTTATATTAAATCACTCCACCATGTTGCACAATTTATAATATCTGCAGACTTGAGCCTCTCTTTATTCATGTTTTAATTTTGAGGAAATATGAATTCTTCATTTTAAAATAGCTTTTCAAAAGAGATTAAAAACAAAACTAGTTTGATCTTAAAGCCAATGTGTTGTCATACCTTCACACACGAATGTGACGACGCTACTTCCTCCTCACAATCACATTTCTTTTATTTATTCACCCACACCTCCCCCATCCTGCATGAATGAACATGCTCAGCTTTCCCCCTCAAATTAGGGTCAGATATTCCTCACACCATCCAGGATGTTAGACCGCAGATATGCAGCCTCAGAGGCTGAACACAGTCTCAATGATTATGGACTTCTGCTTCTCCTGGTTACACACACAAAAATAATAATCACAGCAGTGACTCTCACCCATGAGTTTCTGGTTGGGCCTCATTATCTAGCACAAACGCTCTCCTCTAGATGCGTCAGCACACTCCCCCCACACAAACCGGCAGAACCTTCTTATCTGATTATAGATGAGGCAAAAATTCCAACAAAGTTCATTAATAAACTATTGCTTAAGTTCATTCATAAATGGGAAGAAAAGAGGTTTTGGTATCTGTTTATATACTTCTATGAAGAGTAAAAGTCAGGGAGTTCCTGTTTCTGTTCAAATGAGAATAAATACAAATGTTTCAACAACACTGTCCTCATCTGATGCTCATTTGTAACAGTCTTATTGCTTGTGGAATCATTACTTGTCTGCAAAAACGATAGAAACTTGAATGAAAAAGTAAAAAAATAAATAAAAGCAGAGTGGGTGTTTGTTGTTCTTCCATGATGAAGACGTTTCCCCACTTTAATCTGCTCTCATCTTCAGCATCGACTCCACTTTCACTCTGTAATCCACTCCCACCCTTTAGCGGATGACTGTCAGCTCCATTGACCCCCACACCCCCCATTATGGATCACCAAAGAAAGCCCACCCTCTCCACAAAGAGTAGAATTGTGCAGAGCGGAAGAGATATGGTTTGACGTCATCTGCTTTAAGTGTCAATCAGGAGTCTTGTGGTGAAGACTGCTAGAAATGTGATTCTTAGAAGGAGGGGGGGGGGGGGGGGGGGGACCACAACACTCAAAGCAAAGAATTTACTTTGGCTTGTTTTGCATGTAAAAAACGATCAAAGCATACAAGCTATAATACAAATCAATTGAATTCCAGTTTTTTTTTAACCATAAAATATTTGCCTTTATGTGACTGTACCTGTACAAAAAGTGAATGTGTCTCGTTGTTGACAGTGTGCCAGTGGTAAAACTCCCCATCGTACCACAAGACTTTCCCCATTGGTGAGTTCTCTTTTGTTACTGCAAACATTTCCTCCGGGTTGCAGCATCCTGTCAGCAACTTCCTGTGCAGAGAGAATAGCACGATAGGTTTCCAGATAGTTGGCCCAAAATACAGAGCAGCATCATTCACTTTCCTTCATTTGTAAATTATTAGGATTCCATTAATAATTAGACATTTAACCATGAGATGTGTGACTTATATTGTGATCAAATCATATCAGACTAAGAATTGCAAACATTTAAACATTCACTGTAAAGATACTGATGGACTGAACAGCCAGCATTTGCAGTTTCTCAATTACCGTAATTTTCGCTGTATAAGTTGCAGTATTTTTGCATAAATTAGCATGCCTGCGACTTATACAGCAAAGCAACGTATTTATGTTTCCCCCCCATATTTATAATCCAATTTTTGGCTGAAATATGACGATTTTATTCATTCTGACATGGAAAATATTGAACACTACCATTTTCAGCCACTAGAGGGCCCTCAACTAATATGGCAAGCCAAGTGTCTCATTAATAGGTAAAAGTGGCTATTAATGAGACACTTGGCTTGCCATACCAGCCACCTTCGTCTCGCTCCGGAACTCCTGGAGCAAACGTCAAATCAGCTGCATTTGCATTAAGTACGGTATTAATCGGAAGAAAAAAAAAGGCCTCTTGAATCGCAAAATGACAGCACACAAAAAAGTTCCACAGACAGGACCCATGAATCCTCCTACAGGCTTGAGGTGTCATTTTCTGTGATTACTGTAACCAGCAGGGACAATAACCACCACTGAATGAGGTTTAAATCAGAATACAGCGCAACTTACACAATGCTTAAAAGGAGGACTTATTAACCATTATAAGTTTTCCTTTGTTGAATGTCAATTTTTAGAAACCTGGCCAATAATTTCCCCCCACAACTTTGTTCAGTTGAATTTGTTTACAGCTGAACTGACTGAAAACAGGTCAACAATGGAGATGGAAAGAATTTTTAAGATAAAATAAGACAATTTTAACGCAGTGATGCGTATTTATGCTCAGATTTGTTGAGTAAAGTATTTAGATAACAATCTTCTTGGTTTTATTCACCTGCTTTGTCTATGTTGAACAAGTACCGTATTTTTCAGACTACTGTATAAGGCACACTTCAAAATCCTTTAATTTTCTCAAAAATCGACAGTGAGCCTTATAATCCGGTGCACCTTATGTATTAATTCTAGCTGTGCTTACTGATCTCAAATTGATTTTATGTGAATGAGTTGAATAAAGTTTAACTTATCTGACTGTTTATAGTTTCGCTTAATGCGCCTTATAATCCGGTGCACCTTATGTATTAATTCTAGCTGTGCTTACTGACCTCAAATCGATTTTTATGTGGTTATTGTGAACGAGTTGAATAAAGTTTAACTTATCTGACTGTTTATAGTTTTGCTTAATGCGCCTTATAATACGGTGCACCTTATAGTCCAAAAAATACGGTACCTGCATTTTACAATTGCATATCCCTATAAATAGAAAACACTACAGTGAACTAATTCAAACTGCACTTTCTGATATAGTTCAGGAAAACCTGTTTTATGTTTGAGTTTACAATAAATAGTTGAGTTCTTGTAGTGGTTCTTTTGTTCTACAGCAGCAGCTTGGAGCACAAAGATTCCTTTGCATTTAAATGACATTAACCTACAAACATCTTACATGCATTGATTTATTTCCCCTTCTTCCAAAAATAAACTAATGCGCCTAAAGCTGACAGACATGTTTAACCTCTAACAGAGAAGGCTTGGGTCGAACCTGTACAAATCGATGCCCGTCTGGTTCTTGTGCCACACTTCCCCCTGCCTCAGCACCTCCTGCACGATGTCTTTGTCGTTCGGCAGTCTGTAGACTGGGAACGCGTAAAACCAGCAGAGCACCAGCACGCACAGGGCGGCCCACACCGACAGCTTGGCTCGGCAGCATCGCGCCAACATCTTTCCCTCCGTCCTGTCCCGTCCAGTCCGAGCGCCTCAGAGCCACCGGTGCGTCCGAACCCCTGGGTGGACCCAAGGCTGCAGGCTCGGCTCAAAGCTGCGAGGAGGTGGAGGATGAATGAGTGGTCCGGCGGTTTGGTTCACGCATCTGTCTGGAAATCAGCTTGTGGGTTGAAGTCTGTCACTGCGGCGGTGCGCTGAGTCGGGCTGTGCGGGAATCCACCGCGCTGCTCCGTGCGCATCACCACCACCATCATCACAGCCTGCTTTCTTCCGACGAACCGGGCGGGCTCCCCGCAAAACCAGCGTCCCCCTGCATCCCAGTCCCACAGGGCTGTCCTCAGCACCCCGACCTCCACCGCTCCTCTCCTCGGGCCTCTGTTGCCCTGCAGGAAGATATGCGGCGCAACTGAACCGGGCCAGTCCAATTCGGTCTCCTTACACCTCCCCCCCTCTTTCTCCTGTCAACACCCCTTCAGTCCAGACAAAGTGCTTCTTGTGGGGATGCGCGACGGAAATAAAAAAAATGAGGCACAGGCAGGGCAACGGAAGATGGCTTTCAAAGTAAAAGCACGCATCCAACACCCAGGACCGTCCACAGAACAAGTCTGGAACCATTAATGTAGAAAATGTTTGAAGATTGAAACTACTCTCTGCTTATCTATCCACACACTAAAAACTTCTGGTTAAAACTGTCTAATTTGTAACCCAGAGCGGGTTCAAATTTATGGGTTATATACTGGCTTAAGTTTTTTTTTGTCCTAGAATTAGGTTAAAATTACTAATTTGTAGAAATAGAGATAATAAAATGTTAAGTTCAAAAGAACCCAAAATCTTGTTTAGTAAATACAACGGTGCTGGCTAGATGGAACTGTTAATAGCATTAATGATCTATTGCCAGCTAATATTAGTCAAAGAACCAACGGAAGTTATCAACAAAGCCAACCATGTTTAAAACCGTACACATTGTTTTAACCATCTTACCTCTCACATAAAGCAGAGGTCCAGTCGGGTCAACTTCTGGCTTAAAATATCGGACTGTGAAAAAGTGATCACTGCTCAAACCAACCGAACATGAGTCAACATCTTTTACAATTGAGTTACCAAAATGACTCAGCAGTTTTTAGTATTGGTCCATCTTCCATCCATCAGTGACATGTGTGACAGGTGAGACACTGACTCTTCTGGAATCGGATGCTCACATATATGAACCCAAAGTAGAAGCTTCAATTTAGCTTTGTTTTTTTTCTTTAAAAAAGGCACCTAATTATGCTTTAATCAACTCCATACTCCTCTCTTTAAGAAGAAAAAAAGTAATATCTTATCTTTATTTTAAGATGAATGAGTTTAGAAAAATCCTTTAGTTCTGAGATATAATCTTCCACCCTCTGTGTAACAGAACGCAAAACGACGTTCCATTGTCCCTATGGAGCAGCACTGCCCCCTATCGGTGCGTCAAGGTACTTTCTGCCTCACCCTGTGTATCTTCTGCATGCATTTATGACCAATTATAAAGAAGAAATATGTCACACACATTAATTCAATATATTAGACAGACTGTAGAACATCAACATGTTTAGCACATGTGTAATCAAACATGTATATTGGCGATATAAAGAGAGACAGCAACGGGCATGCACCAACCGCCTACTTCATATATTGTATATGACACAGCGCCCCCAGAGGTGAACCAGAGCACTACACGGCCTCACCTGCATTTTTTGAACAGGCAATATGTAAATTCTGCAATTTTGACCATTGATGCATTGAAATAATTCAGAAAACAGTTTTACAAAACAGTTTTATAGAACATTAAAATGGTCAAATGTATTTTCTCTCATCATTGTTAGTATTGTACTTATCATAATGACAGGAGAGGCATAGCCTCACCTGCCTCCCCTGACTGCATGTCACTGCCGTCCATCAGTCCATTAAGTCTAACAATTTGCTTAAAATTACTATTTAAAAAGTTTACTCAGTTTGACACATCATGTATAATTTTAGTCCCAAACAGTTGATTTTCAGAAAGCTGAAAACTTCTAGTAAATGATCAGATGAATTGGATGCATTTCTTAATGTCTTAATTGTTTTTACCTTTCTTTCTCAAATACAGGACTTCCAGATATTATTTATCTGCTATAGAAATGTATTTACCTTTTCTTGCACATTTTTTTGTTTGTTTGTTTTTTTGGTAACTAAACGTGATGTATGCTGTCATGGTCATATACAAGGACGGGACAAATAAAGAATGATAAAACAGGCAGAGCTAAAAATAAATAAATAATTAAAAATAAAAACAGCTTGGAGAAATGTTGATTAGGACCACTTTAAAATATCCAATCTGACTCTTTAAAATAAAAGTCTAAAAGTATGAATATGTTAATTGTTTAAACACACATCCTGTTTAGACATTTATTGCCACTGTAATTTATTTTGCAACTGCTGATTGTGTTAAGTTGGTATGTTATTATTATTATTATTGCAGTTTAGTGTATATTATCATACATCTCTTGCGGTTTGTAAGCTACTGATTTACACAGTGAATTGCCAAGTGGGCTTTAGAAATCACAGAGATACACATTGAATCTCTACACTGAATCACTTAATATACAAGTGTTTTATTTTTATTGAATGAAACGGAGCTGAACATGACCTTCCTTTTTTTTTTTGCTTAGATTTGCAAACCGAGAGGTTTTGACTAATATGATAAAAGATACATGTCTGACACATTTATTTTGTTAAGGCTTTATGTGAATTACCAGTTTTTACATTTCTAAATATGCTCCAGGCATCTTTGCCTTGTACAGTATTTTGAAGTTCTCCTTCAAAGTTTTGATTCAGGCTTTCCACAGGCTGCTGCAAGGTTAAAGGATCCGATGCTTGGGCCCCATATTGTGAATGTTGCCTCCCTCTACTGGATTTTATCTACAACAGTGTAAAACAGGATGTTTGGCACATCATACAAACTCACTGTAACTCCTTACTTAAAATATTTTATCATCTCCTTGTAATTTGCATGCATTCTAACAGATGTGTTTGACTGGTTAACAGTTATGTAAATGGAATTTAAAAAAATGCATCATTAAAATAATAATAATAATAATCATAAAAATGTCATAGTTATTCTATTCCACAAACTCCAAATCATAAATATACATTTTATTCAGTGGTGGGCACAGCTAACCAAAAAATTAGCTTCGCTAATCCATATTCCGCTAACTAAAAAAAATAGCTTCACTAACACTAAACTGATAAACAGGTAAAAAAAATAATAAATTGCGCAAGCTAACTCTAAACCAATAACACGACTGTCAGCATCACACTTCTTCATCTCCTTCCAGTTGAAGCTGTGTCAACCAATCACGTCTTGTCACGTGTACATGGAATCAGCCAATAGCGTGCCTAACGGACTCTTCGAGACACGCCCACAACAGACAGGAACAAGCTTGTGAATTTTGTTGGCAAACACAGCTGGCCAATCCTAATTTAGTGGAAGCTAATTCTGCTCACGGCTTCCAAAGTTAGTGAAAACACTATGCCACTAAACGAAAAATTTGTTCCGCTTTTAGCCGTTAACGGATTAGCAGCACTATTCCTATACCACTGTATTTATTACATTTTTATTTTTTGCAAATGTGAAAAGCTTTTGTCTGACCCTCTGTGGACACAGCCAGGGCCCAGTTTTTATTTAGCTGTTTATTTCATTTAAGATAAATCTGTATGTGTGTATGCGTGTGTGTGTGTGTTCTTGGTAATCTGAATCTTTCAGCTAACAGCTGGGCTTTCTCCCTGAATGTATTTGACATTGAGAGATATTGATGCCTTCAGTGTTGTCTTTCCCCTGCTTGTGAGGGCACTCAAGGCAAATCAACACACACATAAATATAACAATAATGGAGTGAGAAAGGTCATAAGCCACAGACAGAAAAAGCTACCTCATATTAAATCTGGTTTAATACGCTGCAGTATAAGTGAGGTGTTGAGAAGCATAGCCTGTGCAGGGTGCCTGCTGGGATTATTGGAGGGCAAAGTCAAGGTTGGTCACACAACGACGCTATGGCAGTCTGCTTGGCTGAAGTTATGTGTCAGCTGTTCTTTGTGCTGAGTTTGCAAACAAAGGTGTTTCTATGTAGGTCTGTATGAGATATAAACTGCGAGGCAAGAGAAGAGAAGATGTGAGATGGTAAGAAAGTAGTTGCAGTGCTGCAAACTACTAATTCAAAATATAATGCAACACTTGTAAACAAAGCTTTCAGATATGGAAATATGGTAGGAGTGGTTTTGTTTTGTACAATAAATGGCTCCAAATCTTGTTCTTGAAGTTTTTTTTAGTAAAAAGTATTTGATGATGAAAAATCCTACACTTGACAGTGATACATGTAATGGAGCACAAAGTGAAATTTAAATATGCACAGAAGAGCCAACTTAGGAAGCATAAGAAAGAAAAAAAAATAGATGTTCAACAAAAATTACTTTAAAATGCCCTGAAGTACAGTAGTTTTTACTCTTTTAAAAATCACTATACAGCCTAAAACAAATCCTTACTAATAATGTTGAGAAGCTGAGAACAGAACTATCGGTAACTAAACTAAATCAGATTTATTTAACTGGAGAAATTGCCTTTTTTTTAACTGCAGACTGAATGCTGAGAGCTAAACTGTGTTTGTAAATCTACAAGAAATATAAAAATATAAAAGAAGAATTCTCGCTAAAAATAGATAAAGCTTTACTCAAATGCAGAGGCGATTCTAGAATGGGACTTTTTGGGGTGCTGCTTAGCCCCCAATGTTGAAAGTCAAAACTCTTGGCTTGAACAACACAGTGACCATTGGCATCAGACACATTTGTAAATTGGGGGGGGGGGGGGGGGAGTGTTGCCAGGTGAGAAATGTAGGATTATCATACTAGAGACATAAAATTATCGTACACCCGTCATAACCAAAATAACAAATCTATTGATGCACTATAGTAGTGATGGGTCCGCATCCAGACCGACTGCTTCTTCTTCTTTTCTTTTCTTATCTTAATTTTCCTCACTCATGGGGCGGGCGCAGCGGACTATTCAGCCAATCATGGCCGTTGTTCTGAGGCAAACACATACACGTCACATGTAAGTAACATTTAGAAAAGCATGATAATTGTACATCTGTTTGCGGACACAGATACCTTCAGGGTTCACAAAAAAAACTCCGACAGACATTGCGACAGGCTGATGACAACCGTTTACAACCACACATTCACGGAAAGGTCAAATTATCGTATAGTCGGCCTTTTTTGGGATTATTGATCGTACAGAGGGCAAAATTGTCGTACAAATACGATAATTATCGTACACCTGGCAACGGGGGGGGGGGGGGGGTTCCCCAGAAAATTTTGAATAAAGTGCCATTTCCTGCATTATGGTGTATTTTAACAGGTTTTTAAACAACTACATTTACCTACATACGTAAACACTTGATTCAATAACTATTTTAGAGAGCATGGCACAACACAAAGTAGCGCTTAGCTAGCGGTGTGCAATACAGACGCGCTAGCTAAGATGCTACACATGTAGCACTCCGCTTTACATTACACAATGTACAAAATCATTTTAGTGTTAATTGATCATAACAAAGACTAAACATATATGCAACCAGAAGTTGCAAAATATATAAAACACACAGAACTAAGCATTAGTCTTAATTTAACCATTAAGCATGCAATTAAGACAAAAAATGGAGGATTTACTTGCAGTTTCCTTCGTACAGATGAACATGTGGTATTTAGTTTAACTGTTATATTCAGCAGTTTATGAGGTCGACCACAGCACTGTATCCATATGTTTCCAGACTCAGTTTAAGTTTTGGAAATGGAATAAACTGTATTACATCCTCTAAGTTCTAAGCACTCAGGGTAACGCTGTCTGAATTACATGTTCTCCACTGACAACGTTTAAGCATCTTTTCTGAGGATTTTTCATGAAGTCCCTGACCACAAACATGTTGAAAAGGCAAAACCCGGCAATGTTGTCAGAGAAAAAGGGGGTGGAGCTCTGCGGTAAGGGGCGTTTCACGCTATGACAAATTGAGATCGCTGATTGGTCAGTTGCTGACAAGTCTGCTGGATTGATTGGTGGATCGAGGACTGGAGTCCTACAAAAAGAATCATAGATTTTACTGGCCGGTTTAAGAGTGTAGTCATTTTTTCAATTTTCATTCCAAATTTATTCAATAATTTTGGGTGAATCTAAGATATGAGAACTGAGTTTCCTTACAAAATCCTAATGATGGTTTCTTTATTTTTCACGGGTGCGGAGTTAAAATTTAGGGCAGATTGTGAACCCCCATAAATTGGCTAAAATCGCCACTGCTCAAAAAGGTAAATATAGCAAAGGTTAGCTAAAAGTATAAAAAGCTAGCTCAAATTTTAAAAGCCCAGTCAGGGCCCATTAAAATCTATCTGGGCAAACCCATGTAGGGCCACTATAGAAACTGCGGGCAAACCCACTTGTTACCCACATTCTGGCCCAGTTGGGACCCAATTAAGGCCCAGGTACATATTCATAAAAACACACATGGGCCTCATGTAAGTTAATCCTCTGGGTCTCACTGAAAATCCAGTCAGGGCCCGTTAAAATCTATCTGGGCAAAACCATGTAGGGCCATGTGAACAAACCCACTTGTTACCTATATTCTAGCACAATTGGGACCAGTTAAGGCCCAGGTAAATATTCCTGAAATCACACACATGGGCCTTAGATGGGCCTCATGTAAGTTAACCATCTGGGTCCCACTGAAAATCCAGTCAGGGTCCATTAAAATCCACCTGGGCAAACCCATGTTGGGCCACCATGGAAATTGTGGACAAACCCACTTGTTACCCATTTTCTAGCCCAGATGGGACCCCATTAAGGCTCAGGCAAATATTCATGAAAGCACACATGGGTATTACATGGGCCTCACGTAAGTAAACCATCTGGGTCCAACTGTAAACCTAGTCAGGACCTGTTTAAATCCATCTGGGCTAAGCCATGTGGGGCCACCATGGAAACAGCGGACAAAACCTTTTGGGGCCCATATTTTTTGCCCATATGTATCCCATATGGGGCCCACCTATGTATGCTGGTTGGGAACCAATAAAAGCCAAGCTAAAACCTATAAGTAGCAGAACGGTTGCTAAAAGTAGCAAGAAATCAGAAACAGAGCAGATGTCCTGAAGCAGATTTCAAAGAGAAGAGAAGGAACAAAAACCAACCTGCTCCATCTGTGTAGCAACAGAGGGGAGTTGGGTTGCATCAAGAATAACACTCCCCACCTGTTGAGGATTTCTTAAAAAATAAAACAATAAAAAGACAGGGCATTTATTTTCTGCATTTAGTCATCTTTAATTTACTTGTACTTCTTTTTGCAGTAATATATTTGTAGCTCCCATTTCGTCCATGAAGGAGTGGAGGCGGAGCTGAATATTTTCCAGCTATTGTGCTATAGTCATGGCAAATGTCAAAACACTAACCCAAACAAAAAAAAAGTGAGAATTAAGTTAAATCATATTCTCTTAGCACATGTAGAATTGAATAAAATATGAAAAGTAGGAGGGATAGCGTTCTCAAAACACAGACAAGTTGCTTCCCCCTCCTTAACTGCTCACAAGAAAGCCTGACATGACCTTTTACTTTAACCTCCATGTTGTCCTAATCTAAAAAAAAAACCTTCACAACTCAGGAGAGCAGTTCATCACAGGACAAGACTGTCCTTCAGCTAATGCTTATCAAAAACATCTTAGCACTTGCTCCAGCTTTCTTTCAGTATAAGCTGCTGGAAAGATTAGAACACTGATGCTGAGTGCGTGAAGCAATTTGCAAGAAGTGTCCGAGCTCAAGTCAAGATTAGCATTCGTGCTCTGAAAGATTTAAACCATCATGACAAGGAGTTGAAAGCACACGAAAATAGAAAAAGGACTCAAAGACCCTCAAATACCTCAGAGTTTTGAATTTATTATCACAACTGTATCACTATTAACTATTAATCACTAGGATTTTCCATTTATCTACAAACAAGTAGGACTTTGAATGTTACACAAATCAAGAAGTCGTTTTTACTTATTAGAATTAAATTATATGTCATTTTGTCATTTTATATGTCATTTTATTTAGAATTAAATTATTGAGCAGTATTTTAAGTGTTATTTTGTCTTATATTTGTTATTCTGTCTCTTTAGAGCCAGAGCCTAAGACGCCAAATCATCATCATCATCATCATCATCATCATCATATAATCACACTCTAAGAATTTTAATTTGAATGTAGTTTTAATGATACATTTTTTTCTTGATCTGTTCATTTTTGCCTGCCGAAAATAAGAAGGTTTTGCTGTATTAAAGTAATAGTACACGTTTAATTTAATACTACTTTGCCTAAAAACATATATAGTGTTGCTTTTACTGAAAAAAGACTGTCCCATGGTGCTTCCCGTACCTTTACTCTTAAGGCCAGAGGGACATTTTAACTTAAACTATGAGCTTTTTTGCTCCATGTGCTATAGGAAGGCATAAATCTTTTGAAACCACTGCCATCCAGCAACTATCTGGAGAAACCAAAGCTTCGATAATAAATCTTTTAGGTAGTTAAACAACCAAGTTTAATGAAACCAGTTTATAAGTTTGCCCAGTTTAAGGAATTCAGACATTTCATGGTATAACCAGCAGTTTTCTAAAGCTGCGTTTTTACTAACAGTGTCACAGATGCACACCTTGTTAAAAAAAAACAAAAAAACGTGCAAGTGAAATAAAAGATTTGTCTCAGTCTTAAGTGAGTTGCTAACATTGCTACCAGTTGAAAGCAAGTTATAATAGGAAAGGGGACGTGACTAATTTTAGAATATGATTGTGAGCTTCTGCCATTCATCAAGGCTTTACAGTGGTTGTGCATTGTGCTCATCTACAGCGTATTTATAACTTGGATAACTTTAGCTTCAACATATGAATGCGAATGAATAATTAAACTTGCCCCAGAGGATCATTTTCTTCTTCCACTCAAAGCTAAGCGAACTTGGTTTGGTCTATGTCAATATGTTGTGAGCACGCTTCTCTAATTAAAATGTTAATATTCATGTTTGTTTATTTTCCAGGGAATTAGTTCTTTTTTTTTTTGCACCAACAGACAAAATCTAGACAATACCATTAAGGTAATGCCCATGCAGGATAATTATACCCCACCCAGGCATTGTCACAGTTTCAGAGAGGTGGGATTCCATGCAGGGTCTCCTGCCAGCACATTCTTGAGACCATATCTGCTGTTCACTCAGCAGCACCCCCCTCATATAAAAAGCCAGCCATTGTCTGCGGCAGCTGCTGTTCAACGCTTTATACCGCTGCAGACATCTATTCTCAGGTAAAATTGCTTTGGGGGTTTAAAAGTATGTTTTCATGGTTAGATTTCCAGCTTTCAGTGCAGAATTTAAAGTTTAAAATTACTTTGTGTCCTGGGCTTTTGTGTGTGTTTGTGTGTGTGTGGATATTGAACTATTTCTACAGACTTTTGTATCTTACAATGTTTCAGATAAAATTAATACTTCTATTACTAGCTGTAATTATTATTCAGTGTATACATTTCAGCATGTTTCTTACTTCTTATTAACTTCCTGAACCGATCTGATCCCCTCACATTGTCTCATTTGTCTGTTTAGTCGTTACAATAGATTTTTTTGAAGTCTTAATCGGCGTCAGAGACTTTGTCGAACCTAAATATACTCGAGACAATTATTCTTGTCTTGTCCTTACTTGTTCTGTCAAAGGATGTTTGTGCTGGATGGCTCAGATGACATGGTGGATCACTGGCATGTTTTTTTTTTAAAACGCCATTATTGTGCACTTCTGTTTCCCCTCAGGTGTTTGATTTTGTGATTAAAAGTTGAGTGAGGTAGTATTTTCATTTTTATCCATAGATTTTTACATTTTCTATAACTGTTCTCCTATAGTGGTCTCATTTGTCCCCGTTTGCTGTTTCAGGAGCTCCACAGACACAGAGCCATGAATCCTAAGGGGGATAAGGTGAGCCAGCTATGTCCTTCTGTGCTAATCCATCGTTCACTGACAGAGGACACGCTGTCCTTACAGACATTGCAATGATGTGGCTGTGGTATCTGTCAGAACTGCTATCAACATTGTTGAGAGCTTTCCACTTGACTTCATCCTATTATTAAAACGTTATCTTTTTATATGCACAGTAGCTGCTGGAAGTGGCAACCAGTTGGCCACTTGGTTTTTCAATGAATTTTACGTCATACAAAATGTCTTATAGGGTGACGCTTCAACTAATCAAGGATATGTAGCGGTGATTTTATATAACATTTCAAATAAGTTTTAAAGTCAATAATGTTTGGTTTTGGTACAAGATGGTGCTTTTGCTAGTTTAACTGGGAGTTCAATGTTTTTTTCTAAATTCCTTCAAAAGCGAAATAATCTCAACAACTGCCCAACTTGTGATTTTTGAAACAAAAAAAAATGTGTTTGGTTGATTTTTTTTTCCTGTTATATTATATTATGGCAATAAATCTATAAAGTTGAAAAACCTGTTTATTTCTCCTTAAATTGTGAGATTTGTTGAGAAAATGTATTTGTGTGTTGAGCAACAGAGTTGTGTATTTGAAAAAAAAAAAAAAAAAAAAAAACTTGCCAGATCGCCTCTGTCAGTGCCAAACACCTTATTCTGCTTTTGACTCTTGTTTTGAGGCTCTGGTACCCTGAGCGCAAACAATCAGGTGCCCAGTTGGTGCACGATTGTGAGAAACCAGTGTGAATCCAATGTCGTCACAGTCTAGTCTTCAAGATGACAACGCTCCCCCACAGAGTGCGGTTTATCAGAAGAAGTTGGGAGTGGTGAGGATGAAATGGCCTGCCTGCAGTCCTGACCCCACTGAACACCTGTGGGATCAGTTTGCGTGTGCCGATTGTTCCAAAGTAACCAACAAGACCAAGATGGTGGACACGACAAAGGCTGGCTGAGGATGGGCCATCACACAGCTGTGCACAACTAAGCTGACCAGGCTGTTGCGGCTGTGTATGGTTCTTCCACATTCTGAGGCCCTATTTGTTTAAACAAATAAATTAAGTTGCTCATATGTTCTGTTTTTTCAAACTTCATTCATCTAATCCAATAAATGACTAAACAAAACTCAAAAGCAGAATAAGCTTTGAATCGGCTAAGAATTAAACTCTGCAGCTCAACATAACAAATGTGGCATTTAAGACGATATAAACAGGTTTTCCAGCGGTATAAGATTAATTGCCAAGAAGCATTGTTAAAACAAATAGTCAACCAAGATTTCCTTAATTTTTGTGCTAAGTTTATATAAAGTTATGTAAAATACATTGACAATATTGTTTTCCACAGCCGAAGTCAAAGATTTCGGCTTCCCGCAAGCTCTCGCTCAAAGTAAGTTATTGCACCGTATTCCTTTTTCAGCTGGGAACTATCAAATGATCCAAACCTTTCGTGTCTGACATAAAACTGTTGTTTTGAATCAGATGTTGCTCCTCCAAAGAGCTTGTGATGATCTGGAGAAGGAGAGGCAGGAGCGGGAGGAGGATAAAATGCGTTATCTGGGGGAGAAGCTCCCACCACTGCAGCTCTCTGGTTTGTCATTGGATGAGCTACAAGTAAGGGTTGTTCTGGATGACTTTTTTTTTAAAACAGCAGAACTTACGCTCACAGATTTAACAGAACAAAATGTGTCTTTTTTTAAAGAAACTTTGCAAACAGCTACATGAGAAAATTGACATAGTGGATGAGGAGAGGTACGACTGTGAGCATAAGGTGATCAAGCATAACAAAGATGTAAGTCTCATTAAAGCACATCCTTTTTATTTCGTCTGAATGAAGTTTCAACCAACTAGACCAGAAGTTTAAAAATGTAATTAAAAAAAACAACCTTTTACTCATTGTGAATTTTGCTACTTTAGATTCACGAGCTGAAGCTGAAAGTACAGGACCTTGGAGGCAAGTTCAAAAAACCTGCATTGAGGAAGGTGAGGGTATCTGCAGATGAGATGATGAGAGCCCTGCTGGGCTCCAAACACAAAGGCTCCATGGACCTGAGGGCCAATCTTAAATCTGTGAAGAAGGAGGACGTCAAACAGGACAAGGTACCAGCATCTTTCAGTCTGGTTTCAGATAGACCAGAAACGACTGCAGCAAACATTCTCATTTTTCTTCTTTTCCAGGTGCTCACCTCTGAAGTGGGCGACTGGCGTAAGAACGTGGAGGCCATGTCGGGCATGGAGGGCCGCAAGAAGATGTTCGATACAGGCGGTGGAGCTCAGTGAGACGCTGCCGTCACAGAAGACGATCGTCTAAAAGCTGGAAGAAAGAAAAAACAAAAATCTAACAAATCAGAAATATGGAACATTCATGTGGAAGAGAACTGATATTAAGTTAGTTATTTTCAGTGCAATGACTCAAAGCACTTAAAGGTTTGGATTAGTGGAGAGCCCTGTTTATTTTTTTAATTTTTGGTTTTGTTATGAGACCTTCAGACACAACAGAAGATGAATAAACTGACGTTTCAATGTTTGATGTTTCATATGCGTTGTTGACTTTATCATGTTTCACAAAGAAGCACAGTGAGGAGTGTGATGCGTTAAAAAAAGAAAGGTGAAAGGTCAGGGGGCCGAGGAGGCAACAGGTGTTCCACACAAAACCCATTATTTTTTAAATAGATCCGTTGGACACATCAATAACATCTCCAGTGAAAGACTATAAACTAAAATGAACTCAAAACTTCTAAAATAATAGCAAATAAAACAAGATTAATGCATGTGCAGGGATTTTTGATTAATTAGCTCACAAGAATTTATTATTATTTTCATTATTGGCTCATTCTCATTGGCGGAAATCTCAAACTTTCTTGCTTTTTACTTCAATCTCTCATCTAAAAACTAAAGGCAGACAAAAATTGGATAGCACAAATGGCTGACATTGTCCTAAACATTCTTTTATGTGTCACTGCGTTCTCTGGCTGCTAACACCCGGCTCCGCCATTTGAAGCACGACACGAACAACAGCTCAGTGTTCTCAGAAATGTGGAGGCTCGTTGCATGCTTTTATGGGTTGCTCATAGGAAAAATATCTGTGTGTGTTGAAGCAGCTGACACAGATTTTTCTAGCATGTCTATTAAAAGATGCGATCACACAATATGTGAGACTACAAGGAGACAAAGTCAAATGTGTGGAGGATGGATGAGGAAAAGCCGCCTCCTTTTCTCACATTCACCTCCTGACATGTCAACAGCTCGGTTAGAGATTATGTAGCCAAATAGTTGTTTAAACTTTCAGAAATGACAGCCTTACTTTGGTGATGGATCCACACAAAACCTGTTTGTATTAGTTAATATAATAATAGGATGTAACAATCAAACAGCATGTGTTTCAGTATTTTGACCACTAGATGGGAGCAAACAGCTGCAAAAACGTCAACAATAAATAGTTTAATGCAATTTCTTTAAGGTTGCATTTTTTTTTCTTTCATTTAAATGTTTCCTATCAAAAACTAAACTGTGTTTTTTTATTCTAGTGTTGATTTGAGTATTAAAATAATGCTGATGGTGTCATTAATCTCTACACATAAATTGTCTTTCTATCCACAAAAATGGTTTGGTCCTGGATTATTGTTATTTTTAAATAAACATGTGTTTCACTTATTTCACATAAAAGAATCAAAAAGTGTGCAACAGAACTGCGAAATAGTTTTATTTCACACATGTAAAACTAAGAACAGCAACACGAGAAGAGGCTGAACTTGAACTGGAAATGTTTGCATTATAAATCTTTAGTGCTTCTAAAAACTCCTCTTCGGTTTGAAGCAGCAGGTAGAGACAGGATCTAAAGTGTCAATGAAGGATGTTATGAAAAGGAACATGACAAACATATACCCAATCAGCTCCATCTCCCAGTCATGGGAGGTCTGGATAATCACCGGACCACCTACTGAAACACAACACCTCTTGCTGATAAATACATCCTCACTCTGTTTGTTGAAGACTGATGACATCACTCCCTCATCAGGTCACACATATACACCCTGCAAACCATGTAATCTACTCCGATATTTCCATGCCCGTTAATTCTAGTTTTTCCTTTCACTTCAGGTAATGCAGTGAGGAAAACGAGCTGGGATTTCCAAGAGTCCCAGCGGTAATTAGTATTTGTCAGGATCTGCTGCTTCAACCAGGAACATGTTGCAAAACTGTTATAGATGGATATAAGGAGCAGTCTGAAAATAATGATCAATAACTGTTCTAATATGTTGTCATAAGCAAAGATTTGTACTTTAAATACCATATTTTTCAGACAATAAGGTGCACTAAATGAAATAAAACAGTCAGATAAGTCAAACTTTATTCAACTCGTTCACTATAACCGCATAAAATCAGTTCACGGTCAGTAAGCACAACCAGAATTCATACATAAGGTGCACTGGATTATAAGGCTCACAGTCGATTGTTGAGAAAATTTAAGGATTTGAAGTGCGCCTTATAGTCCGAAAAATATGGTAGTATAGTATCGTGACCTGCTGTTCTCTGCAGTTGTGATGTGATAAATCCAAAGCTCGAGGCAAATCTGGTTTTGTTTCCTTGAGTGATTGTCTATTTTTGGGGGTAATGACGCAGAAAAAAGAGCTTTGAAATAATTTTAGGCAAACAGACGAAAACAGTCACTCACACACTCTAGACAACCCTCTGACTCCAAAAGTGTTGACTGGATTTGACTGATGCGAGGATCTTTTCATCAACTTCATCAGTTTTCATCTACTATAGTTAACTTAAATAGATACTATATTGATGGATAAATATGGGATTAGTTGTTATATTTATGGATTATACATGTAATGAATGTAAGATTATGTAAGCGGTTAAGGAGTGGGAATTTTGATAAGTTTATACATACCCACTCCCTTGAATATGTAAAACAAAAAGTTTTGACATATGTTTCATGCTATATATTTTCTTTTTTTTTCTTTTTACATATTCAAAAAATAATATATAGCAAATATATATAAAAAATAAAACTATAAAGACATGTAGTTCTCTGTTGCTAGTTCATGTAAACCAGATGAAAGGTTGGTTCTTGTATTAGTCCAGTTTTTGGATAAAATGATCTGATTCCTCAGTAAGACCAAGGAACCAGGAGACAGGTCAGCACGAGGGGAACATGGTCAGGCTGTATAGGAAGCAGGATCAAGCTAAGTAACTGAACACCAAATATTAGTCAGAGGGTGGCGGTTTAGTCACCTTCGCAACTCAACACTCCAACGAAAAACTGAAGTCCTTAAGAAGCTGATGAGCTGATTGGAATCACCTGCTGGAGTTCTTCTTCCTGGTAGTACTGGTAAATCATAACCAGTCCGGCAGAGAGAGCCAGTACCACAGATCCTATAGCACATTGTGCGCCTGCTCATCCACTAAATCTACATGTTTAAAGGTACAGAATCAGGAAAACCACAAAAAGATGTCACAGTTAGAAGATGGTGATCCTAAAGAGAAGGTTGTTTTGAAATCAGGGATGAGGGCCTTGCTCAAGGGCCCAGAGGCAAATGAGGGTGCTTCACTGTTCCCACTCATGTTTTGTTGTAATGATCAGAGGATTCAAACCTCTTGATCTCGGTCGAACATCCACTTTGCTCCGCAGTATTTCAGCATCTCAATCCAGACATAAGGTGCAACACGATGTACATTCATATCTCACACTAGAATTACATGAACCAAACTTCATTTCAAACCTAACTTGGAGCAACGTTGATGCTGGAAAAATTCATAATTTTCATTTTTGAAAGATCAAACCCAAACGAGTGAGATGTTCTTTTAAACTATTATTCAGTTCCATGACTTTCAGATGTGGTTCACAGCAGGTAAAGCTTCATGCTGCTCACCCGTGATGTGCTTTGGTCTATGTTTGGAGCTGTTGTAGTCACACGCAGAATAAATACAGAAAGGAGCAGCAGAATCTTACCGAACTGCTCCGAAATCATTTAAACACACTGCTCCTCTGCATTGCTTCTTCAAGGCTTGGGCAAAAATGTTTGTTATTTCATCAATATGCATTTATTGTGTGAATGTTTATGAAGCACTCACACTATTGTGATCCATTTTTTTCCCGTACATTTTTCAGCGCCATTCTCGTCCTGCAGTTTTCAATATTTTTCCACAAATTATATATCAAAACGTTCAGCTCTTTCAGGACAATCCTGCTATAACTTTATAACTTTATTTATTATTATTATAAATATATATATATATATATATATATATATATATATATATATATATATATATATATATATATATATATATATTGCCTTTT